AGGAAGCTGGCCGGTTTAAGCCGTCTAACTTGAATTAGCCTTATGTGCGGTATTGTTATGCAAATGAGCCAGATAAGCCCAATCTGCACATGCTCAGAAAAACAAAACTTTCCTTAGCCACACGATGGCCACTCTGCGTATCGGCTAGGCGTACAGCTAGGCCTAGCCGAGAATTACGGTACGGTAAAACAAAGTAAAATAAGGGTACTAATTCCACTTGGCATGCAAATCAATCATACTTACACACTTAAAAACAAACTAGTCTACAAATAAAATCACCTGCAAGTTAGATATAAGGCAAGTATGTCTAAAAATTTGATTTTAAATTGATGTGATTGGGCTAGCCTAGACCCGGCCTAGACCATGTCTAACCGCTTATAAAAGTGCAGAAAAAAGACCCAAAACAAATTAGAATGAAGTTTTCAACTAACTAGTGCATTAAAATTATTCATATACTTACTACTTACCTATATAAAATTAAAGTGTATTGCTCACAAACGCCAAAATTTGGATTTTAATACGCCTTTTCCACGAATCGGTAGACATCTTGAAGTGATGACAAACAGCCTAAGTCAGTGGAGGTCGCACTATTAAATGTTGTACAAACAGGAATATAAGTTGAAGGAGCATTCACATAAATTTAAGTCCCAGTCTTTGTATTCTCAAAAGTTGCAGAAGCTGTACAGTTAATATTAGTGATAGGTACACTAGAAGACATTGCATCACACACATTAACCTGTCTCTTATACACATCTAGATGTGTATAAGAGACAGCATATAAACAATGAAAGAGGCAACAGCCCTGTAAGTAAATTCGGTTTAAAGGTTAAACCGAAACTTGTGTCGAGCTAGCCAGATAATAGACAATAACAGTAAATTTCAAAACACATCAAAAACAAAACAACAAGAAAACAACAGACGAACACCAGGAAAGATGGAAAAAAAAGAGGGCTATTAAACAACTAGAGTGCTGACAAGATGGCAGAGCAATGTAGAGTTATGTATGTGTACCATCCAAGATGGCCGTCGTAGTAAAGCGCCACCTTCAGGCTTAGTATACATATTATTACCATAAATAAGCCCTCTGACTGACTATTATTTCATTAATGATAATGAGTAATGGTAATAACAAATTATTGAACTATCGTAGCAAAAACGAGGCCAAGTGGAGCATCCTATTCAAAAATAAAGTACCAAGGAATGAAAATTAAAATCGTGTACATTACACCCATACACCGCAACGCTCGACTTTCAAACATTCGGGTAACTAGCTGTACTGAACTTTCTGTGTAAATTGAGGGCGCAATTGCAAACGATGTCGCTTAGGCAAAATTTGATTAGCTAAATCTATGGCAGCCATCTTTGATGGTACATACACACAGCTCTGCGTATTTCGAACATCGAATACATTGCAGTTAGCACTCTAGTATTCTTATTATATCTCTAGGGGCTAAGGAAAGTTTTGTTTTTCTGAGCGTGTGCAGATTGTGCTTATCTGGCTCATTTGCATAACAATACCGCACGTACGGCTAAATCAAGTTAGACGGCTTAAACCAGCCAGCTTCCTATCCTGGTAACAGTTAAAAGTTAATAATTCGTACCTTGCAGGAAAAAAAACCGCAAAATGTTATTCACAATTATTGCATAACAATAGCACGTCCCTAATTCCTATTTTGTTCATTACGATTGGAAATGTATGTATCATAATGCCAAAACAAATTCAATCAAGAAACCCCCCTACAGTCCCGCAAATTTGAATAAGAACAGCAATGCCACAACAACATCATGGTGCTATAATGGGCACAGAACGTTTGGTTAGAAGTGACAATGGGTTGACGTGATGCCATGGCCTTGGGACTGCAATTTAGAGGAACACAACTGTTATAAGCGCATTGTGATTTTCTTTAGATTGTGAATATAAATACCATTTAAAATACTAGTTCAAAAAAGTGTAACTAAACATAGAAAATGGTTTTCAATGCACTCGAGTGCGATTGTATCAGCATCTTTTCTATGGAATGTATCGATTGACTGGATTGAACCAGGAAATGAGATGTTTATTTTGTACTGACTCCGTTCTTGAGTAGTAATTGCATTTTTAAATCCGAAGAAGCACGCATCCCAAGTAGGCCTACACTACGAGATATAACTATGCTTTCAAAAAGGCACCTACTTCCTTGGGCTATTATCAGTGTCATCCTTTATTTTAATACCATTGAAAAATGTCGATGTCAAACTACACAAGCGTCTTCAATTATAACACAAACAGGTAGGACTTACACACTAATGCATTATAATGGAGTGTGTGCTATTTTAGGCCAAGAAAAATATATATATTTGTTTCGCACCTGTAATTTTTTTTTTTTGTTTCTTGGTGAAGGTTTCTAATATTTGCTATACTATCCTATATACTAGTGGTAAACAGGCGGGTAAATATAAAAATAAATGTTATTTATAAAAGAAGCAAAATGAGTCTTTTAAATGTATCAGGCGCGTCGGAAAGCAAATGTTATTGGTCCGGCCAGATGAGACAGATTCCCACACCCTCACATTGGCCCATGGTGGAGGAGGGGCTGTGGGAGTGGTTTCAGGATGGAAAACCACTTTTTTGTCCTTACAGGGCATCGTATTCTTGCCGGTATTATATTTATTACATTGCATATTTCAAAGATATTTCTTTAAAAATATAAGGGGCCCAGACAAGTACTTTGGTTTGACAAATGACTCAAAAAAATAAATTATTCCAAAGCTTTTTTATTGCAGCCTGTCTCTTCAGGGACTTCTATATAACTAATAATAATTTTAAATAGTTTTGCATTATATGGCCGTTTGCTGTTTTATGGGTTTTTCCCATTTGCCTTTTAAAATTTATATATTATTAAAGAATCTCTATTGAGATCCAGCGGGCCGCCACTGATGCACGGTAGAGATTGCATCTTTAGATCTCCGATCTTGTTCACAAATTCACGGACTAGTGCTGTCTCGTAAGAATTTCGTAGGACGCGTTAAGAATGACAAAATATTCTCTGTATCTGGAACCGAGTCACATAGCTTGTTTTCCACTATTTGCATTCACACCTGAGCTGTGTATATATATTGCCTTGGTTTGGCTCTGTAATCATTAGTGGTCGTGGGACTAGTTTGGGCCCTACCTAAGCTGGTCGAACGTTTCGTTTGGATCTATACCCTAGCTGCACTGATAAGGCCTGGAAGGCCGAAACGGATCCATCTGCAGATATTGGGATTCCTTCCAGTGGATGCTTAGTTTATTTTGTCATTCTGATCGGATTTTCTCTACTGTTCCGTTTTAATTTTTAATAGTTTTGCATTATGTAGCCGTTTGCTGTTTTATGGGTTTTTCCCATTTGCCTCTTAAAATTTATATATTATTAAAGAATCTCTATTGAGATCCAGCGGGCCGCCACTGATGCACGGTAGAGATTACATCTTTAGATCTCCGATCTTGTTCACAAATTCACGGACTAGTGCTGTCTCGTAAGAATTTCGTAGGACGCGTTAAGAATGAAAAAATATTCTCTGTATCTACTGGAACCGAGCCACATAGCTTGTTTTCCACTATTTGCATTCACACCTGGGCTGTGTATATATATTGCTTTGGTTTGGCTCTGTAATCATTAGTGGTCGTGGGACTAGTTTGGGCCCTACCTAAGCTGGTCGAACGTTTCGTTTGGGTCTATACCCTAGCTGCACTAATGAGGCCTGGAAGGCTGAAACGGATCCGTCTGCAGATATTGGGATTCCTTCCAGTGGATGCTTAGTTTTTGTCATTCTGATCGGATTTACTCTACTGTTCCGTTTTAATTTTAAATAGTTGTGCATTATGTGGCCGTTTGCTGTTTTATGTATGCGTGTGTGGGTGTGTGTGATTAAACACCACTTTCTCAATACCTGACCGCTTTCTGATCGTGAGGTCGGGAGTTCGAAACCGACGTTCATCGCATTGCTTGTGTCCTTGGGCAAGGCACTTTACTTACGCTTGCCTCTCTGCACCCAAGACTATTTATGTGTACTGGTAGGATGGTATGGCATTAAATGTATGGGTCGTGCGCGTACAAGCAGCAATGACCAGGGATGCTCCCCAGGGAGCAGAGAATGTTGCACAATGTGCGGGTCTGCCTCTAATCCAGTGACCAGGAAAATAAGTATGCCAGCGGCTTGTATAATCACCTTGTATAATTGCGGATTGTGATATAATTTATTGTTCTTAAGAAAAAAAAGAAGTATTTTTCTTGTAATATACGGTAATGACTTCTCGTAATTTGCACATTTCAAGACATAATCGTTAGACGATTTAATCAGCAGACTTTGAAATTACTTCTTTATATGGATTTGTTGTGTAAGCATAGTTAAGGCAAATATGTTTTGAGTCCAATTTTGAAGGGTTTGACACAGCAAGACACATATAGGGAATAATGATGGAACGGAACATTTATGTATGTCTATAATGGCCAATGCTGTAGCCAGGATTTGAATCAGTGCTGGACAATATCAAAGTGGGCAAAATTAAAATAATGTTGATCCATTTTCTTAAAAGTTGACCCATTTTAAGCAATAATAATATGAAAACTCTGGACCCACGTTCTTAAAATTTTACCAATTTTATGCTAAATGTGAAAAATATGGAACCATTTTTTCTAAAAAGTGGACAAATTTATGCATCATATGCATAATTTGAATCCATTAAAAAAAAATGTGAACCCATTCTTTGTGGACCGATTAGAAAAATTGTGTAGGACTGTCCAAAGTGCCCCAATTATCCAAACTGCCCCAATAGCTGGTTACGGCATTGGTAATGACGATTATTATTAAGGATGTAATTATAAATATATTCAAGGCCTTGCATATCATTTTATTTATATGATTTATAAAAAAAAAAAAACATATAGATATTTGTTCAACGCGACCATGCGAAAATGGAGGTCTTTGTCTACAGCAATTAAAACATTACCAGTGGCCAATTGGCGCAATTACCACATCACCTGAATTTAAATGCGCTTGTCCGCCAGGTTTCAGAGGCCCGACATGTACTGGAGTGATAGGTAAGTTATCAAATAATCACATATTTACGGATTCTGAAACATAACACTGTGTTTTGAAATGTTATACTAACTATTAAAGGGGGGGGGGGAGGGGTTGCGGGGATGAGAAAGTCGCCATATATTGCTTATTTAACCTCTCTTGAGTTTAGGAAAAATACTTTAAAAAATAAAAAATGTTGAGATGTAACGATAATTATAGAAACAAAACATAATGGGTTAAAATATCTAAATTCGGTGAAAACGAGGCTGATCGCTTTTTCAGTAGCTTGGTAGCAATTTTTTTTAACTAACTCATTAATATTCATGATCAGTCTCAGTTTTGGCGAGCGAGGGATATCGAGGAATCGTCCCGACGATGATCTAGCGAAGCTTATAGTTTTTGTGTTTCAGTAACACAGAGAGGGTTTAGTCGACGTCAGTTCAACCATGGAGGAATAATTCAATTGAATTAATAAGCGTATATCCGATGACTTGTTTGTTTATAATTTGGCCTACACCCATGCCTAGGATTAACACATGCAGTCAACCAAGCAGGCTAGCAGCAGCACTCTAGTCCGGGACACCGCTTTAGTCCCGCAGCAGGTGAGTTCGCACACAGCTATTTATCCAGCCGACGGTAGAGTTAGTTACTAGTAGGCTTCTACTACTAGCCTAGCCTCGGTGTATACTTAATATGCCTAGCTAGTTTGACCATATATAGTCTGACTAGGCCGGACTTAGGCCCTAAATAAAGACTGGGCCAATTAAGGCCTAAACTATCGTTAGGCCCTAGACATTTTTGCCATACCATGGCGACTTTGCGCCAGTGCATTTTTTTTTCATAGATACTAATGCCTAGGCATAGAAAAACTGCCTAAATGTCTATAGAAATATAATATAAGGTAAGTAAAAATTATAATGGTAATTTACAACTTTCTAATAACTAGTCTGAAAACCGCGAAACATTTAATTCCCATTCTATATTCCCAATGTATTAAAACTTAATGAAAATAATAAATGAAATTGCGATAGGTATTTGAACTGTTTGAAGTGACCATTATGGAATGATAAACACAGGCCTATGCATACAGTACATACAAGGTTAACATATCGTGCTGATAGCCCGCCATTTCAACAATTATCAAACAATCACATAATATATTTTTTTTATTTACCATTTTATTAATTTTATCATACATTGCATTCAAAATGAAAATACACAAAAACAATTTAGTGCCCTTCTTTTAAAAACATAGAATAGTATACATATAATAAAAAGTTTTATATTTTCATTGTAAGTACAAATATATTTTATATCCTGTAACAATTTTTATAAATTCTTTTGCAAGTGAAAATATAATATTTATTGTATTTAATATTCCAAAACTTGCTGTACCATTACATTAGGTGAACTACTTATATATCAGAGGTCAGGGTACAAATATTTATTATTTATTTGAAGCTTTGAAAAAGATCATGCAGTGAAGACCAAAATGAAAAGAATTTCTCTTGGTTACAGGTGGCAAAATATAAATATATCTTGTAATATCATAGTATCTAACAATTTCTGTACCTCCAATCCGAATACCCTTTATTGATTTATTGTTTCTTATCATTAACCCCAAAATTTCCACACATAATAAAAAAATACAAGGCGACAGTAGATCACCTTGCCTACATCCTCTATTGACCCTAAAGAACGGTGAGCCTTGTCCATTTACTAACACACTCGACGTATAGTAGTATCTTTATAAAATGTTGGTATCGACTGTTGTATGCTGGTTCCAAAATTAAAGAATGTTAACACATTAAATACATTATTGTCTATCAATCGAGTCAAAAGCCTTCTCAAAGTCAATAAGAAGTAGACATAATATTATATAATAAAAATAATAAGATAAAATCTGAACTTATGCAGTATGTAATAATGCATACAGAGTGCCTTTACAGAAGAACTGTGGACTTGCCTAAATGTTGCTGAACTTTCCCTCAGGTCATTGGTAACTAAAAAGTCAACATATTAATGGCATCAACCAAAAGAGTAATTAAAGAAAATTTAATAAACAATTATTATATAAAATCCACAAATGAGCAGTCATACAGACAATACAAAAATAGTATTCAGCACAATCAAAATGGTGAATGATGACATTGTGACCTATTCCGACACTGAAAGCAGACTTAGAAATCTAAACTGTAATATTATAGCTAGCAACTTGCTAGTGTATCTATGTTAATCAAAGCTAAGGAATGTATTCAACACCTAACTTGTTATTCAGTTTAAATTCAGGTCAAAACAGCAATTAGGTAGCTGTTAAGTAGATGATATTAATTTAGGATTTTTACACTAAAAAATAAAAATTCTCATAAAAAATGCAAAAACGTCATGCCTAAGAATCACTAGTAAAAGTATTTAGATTAGGCCTATGTGCCAGTACTGGGGCAAGTACATGGCCGTAGCTAGCATGAGACAGACAAGGCTCTTGCCTCATTCATCATGAAATTTGCAGATTTGTTCTTGATTTAAAACTATAAAAAGGAACATTTGTCATTAAATAACTCGCAGATTAATATACACTTAGGCCTAGGCCTACAGAATAACTGTAGACCTAGGCCTATCCGTATTAAGATAGAACCAAGATAAAACCAATAAACCTAACGTCAAATAATACCAACAAACTACCCTATTGCAGAAATTTCTACCGAGGGCATAAGCATTGGACCCTTAGCTCCCAGTGTGCCTTTTTTCTTTTTTTTTTTTCTTTTTTTAACTCTCTTGCTACCTAGACCTAGGAATGGGGCTCTGGCTAGTTTATGTGTTTTCCTAGGCTAGACCTAGGGCTATTGACATGTTTTCCTAGCCCTGGCACTAGGCTAGACTATTATTTGACTATTAGAGCATGTTTCAGGCCATTTTGAGCATTTCGAATTCTTCTTGAAAATTTCCACTACGTGCGTGCATTTTTTCCACTACTCGCGCAGCATGGACGAAAGCTATAAATTACGTTTTTGTTTTACATATTTTGGGTTCCTGACATCCCAGCTAACACATTAACGTTAAATAAACGTTATAAAAACGTATGAGTTTGGTTCAAAAAACGTTTTAGTAAAACGTTGAAAACGTAATTTTGTGGAGTTTTGGAAGCGCTTAAATAACGTTTTAATGTAACGTTTTAAAAACGTTATTATAACGTAAAAATAACCTTGGTTACATCGACTTTGTTCTTGTATCACGTTTTAAAAACGTTTTAAAAACGTTTACAAAGGGGTTTTATTACGTTTGTAAAACGGTATAATATTACGTTTTAAAAACGTAATTATGTGGAGTTTTTAAAGCGTTTTAATAACGTTTCAATTTAACATTCAGAAACGTTATTATAACGTTATTTTGATGTTTTTAAACGTTTTTAAAACATTCTTAAAATGTGTTACAA